CGGAGAGTCCGGCGGCCGTATCGGATTCCGATGGGGACATTGGGATGCCTTGTGATGCTGATTCCGCCGTCGGCGGTCGTGTTTGTTGTCTTGGCTTTCTCTACTCTGAAGATTGTGTTCATCAGTTTGGGCGCTCTGGCGGTTGGTTTGGTTTTGCATCCTTGTTTGAAGTTTGTGGAGAAGAAGAGGTGGTTGAGGTTCTCGGTGATGCCTGGATTGCCGGACTTCGAAGGAATTAATATATAAAGTTAGATGAGGAGAGCTTAGTTCAATCTCAAAACAGCAATTTTTATTTTTTATTTTTATTTTTTTATTTTTATGATGGATTCTTTTTTAATCGATCAAATAGATGGGCAACAAGAATGAGTAGTTTTTGATAAAAATTTAAAATATAATTTAAGGCTCCCAATATGTTTTGTAATTTTTTTTTTATCAAGTACAATATCAAAAAATTTCTTGGGAAATTATATGATTCTATTTATAGGTATTTATGGAAGCATTCTAAATATTATGGCCAAAAAATCTTATTGTTATTTGAATATGATCGAGGCCCAAATGAGTTTGGATCAAGAATTTGAAACATGATTATAAATTTTGAAATATTAATTGAATGGTGAAATGATCTTCAAAGTTGGGATGCTTGTGAAATCCAATAATATCAAAATTACTCAAATTTGAGGTCATTACTATATTGACATGTAAAAAAAAATGATATATGATCAAAATAATTAACACAAATTGTTTGATGGAAGATAATGAGAATTTGGCTAAATCTATCTCTCGCCCACAATTCTATAAATAGGAATCCATTAAGAGGGTAAATCTACAACAACCAGAGACAATTCGCTAAACCATTGTCACTTAATCCCCACAATCGTCACAGTATTGTTACTCGGTTGATATTATCGTACAAATCTTATTACTATATTTACATGTTAAAAAAATGATATATGATCAAAATAATTAAAATAGATTGTTTGATGAAAGATAATGAGAATTTGGCTAAATCTATCTCTCGCCCACAATTCTATAAATAGGAATCCATTAAGAGGGTAAATCTACAACAACCAGAGACAATTCGCTAAACCATTGTCACTTAATCCCCACAATCGTCACAGTATTGTTACTCGGTTGATATTATCGTACAAATCTCATTGTCATCAGATCGCTGCCACTCGATCGCCGTCATAATTGGACTACCATTAACATTATTGCTAGAGTGTTGCAACCTATTCAATAGTCTTAGTTATTTCTAAGAAAATCAAATTTGTTATATTTATTTTTTGATGAAATCAAATAACTCTAAATTATTTTAAATATATTATATTTTAATTGTATAGTAACTGAATTAAATGATCCCTAAATCCTTTTTTTTTTTCTTTTTGATGAAACTACATGGATGTCAACCAGCAGTCAACAGGGTGCGGGGAGTCAGTAGAAGGTTTTCGCGTGCCCTGGAGATGGGAAACCCTCGAACTGGCTCGAAGAAGAAGAACGATGGAGCGGAGTCAGAGCTACACGCTGCCGCAAGAGCCGGCAATCTCCGCGCAGTTGAATCGATTTGCAGTTCTGATCCCATCGCAGTCAATTTCAGGGACAAGCATTCTCGAACTCCGTATCCTTCTCAATCCTCCGTTTATTTTTTCTAGCTTCTAATGAATACTTTGTAGAAACAGGCATAATCTACATGCCTTTAGTTTGCGGTTTTGTTCTATGTTTTTTATTTCTTCTCCTTTCTTTTTTTTTCTAGGGTTTTATGGGATGCCGTTCGGTTGATTGAAATTACAAATCACGCTTTGACTAAGGATTTATTTACTCTTTTTTTTCGTTTGGTTGGATGTAGCTAGAAACAAATACTGTTTTTGCAACTCTTTAAGCGCCTTCAAAATGCCACTTATGATTGAAATTTCGTATACAAGATGAACGAAGATTCAATCACTGCTTTCCGCGTCTACTTTTAATTTGACTTATATTGTGTGCAATTATGGATTGCTTGAGTGCCTTCATAAGGATCAATGAACATAATTATTTTTTTTTATAAGTTTAGAAATCCTATGATTGATTTCATATAAAATTAGGAATGATTCTGCAACTGCAGTTATTTAATTGTATCATGGAAAAATGGGAAATTTTTGTTCTTCAAGGATAATTCTATTAAGAATCTGATAGTACACTCAATGAGGAATGCATGATATGAAATAGATGAACCACTGCCAATGTTATTGAGTTCATGTGATGCTATTAGGCTGTATTGGTGTAGGATAAAATTGATGTTAAATTTAGAGGATTTTTTTGTAAAAAATTTCTCCTTTTTGACGAAATGTTCATGATTGCAATTAGATTGTAGTTATTTTTATCACTTTCATAAATAAAAAATTTTCTTTATAAATGGAGAATACTCGCAACAGAATTATACTTATATGGATATGATTGTAAGAGAATTACAATAATGTGAAAGCAAAATATTTAAAATAAAAATGCATCCTATCTTTTTATCTCCAAGGATTGATCGGTCCCTCCCCCCTTCTTGTCTTCTCTCTCTCTCTCTCTCTATCCGTTATTTTTTCCTTACTCTCCCTCTCCATGGGCCTCTCTCCTTTTTGGTTTGTTCTTGTTCTCTTTCTTGTCTCTAGGTGATCTTGGAAAATTTCAAAATCATAAAATGTTTAAAATTTTTCAGAATTTGAAAAAAATTAGAAGCTTTAAGAAGATTCTTAGGATCTTCAAAAGGTTTCCAAGAGTATTTGGAAGTTGAAGATAATATTCTTGATGGAGTTAAACAAGTTAAAACTCCAAAACCAGTCAAGGATAGGTAAGCCCATATACAAGGTAGTCCAAATTTTGATTTTCTAAATGGGGGCTTAAATCACAGTCTTGCAGTAAAATAACAAACAATCTTATTCATTTTGCATGTGATGGACATGTGGAGGAGAAATTCAAGGGATTCTAGTTATTTTAACCCTTAGTTTAAGGACAAGTTCCTAGTTTCATGTTTTGTTCTAGGTTTCAGTGAATCTGTCAGTTATACATTTCTATAGGCATATAACATATACGGGGCTATCTGTCAGTAAATCAAAAAAGGTCATTTAGATGTATTTTTAAGGTGATAAGTAACTTCATTTTCTTCTTATAATATATATTCACAGTACTTCGTAAATCTAATATTGTTCTACATACTTTACTAATATTTAATGCACAATTTTGTACACTCATATTGGCCCTCTTTATTCAAATATTAAATCCACTTGGTAGGGTGCTCCTATTTATTGTGAAGTCTTATCTATTTAGGTTTTCTCAAATCATGTTTTGGCAGGAGAGCTATATGTTTGGTTTTAGCAGGTCACTCGGGCATGGACATGACCATAAGCTTGGTATGAGTAGGTTCTATTGTCCCTTCCTAAAGTGAGATGTCTAGAGGTTAGTAGACTGTTACCTGACATGTTAAAATATCAAAAGTCATTAAATAGAAGTCAATTAGATACATAACCCTTCCAATCCCTTATAAATTTTAGCAGGATTTATCTACAGATTTTTAGCCAGGATTGCTTAGTGCACCTAGAGGCTTTTGTAGCACAATGGCCATGTTTGACATATTTTTAAAAATTACCCATTTATTCATTGCAGCAAAATGAATGATGCATCTTATATTATAAGGCTATTCTTTAAAGGCATTTATTTCTTGCACCATCATGTTTGATCGTGATGTAAGTTTATGTCATAATTTTGAAAACCTTATGATGATTATTTGGCACAAAATTTAAATTTCTATTCTCACTGATTGGCGTGAATTCTGTCATAAATGATATCTCCCCACCTCAATTGCCACTTTCTCCTCACAAGTTTCTCCCTCCAAAATTATTTTGAATTTTGAATGGGTTGCATCGTAGACTATAAATAGGAGTATTAATGAATAGAAAATATGCTTGTAAAAATATGGAGTTTGAGAACTCTTTGTGCTCGGTGGCTACCCCTCTCTCTTGGAGCCTCTTGGTGAAGTTCAGTTTTCATACGCTCCTCTTAATGATCTCTTCATTCATTTATGAGGGAACATTGTTTTGTAGTTACACATCTCCAATAGCCCTCACATCTTTCGTCCAAGCCCTTTCCTTTCATGTAAATAGCTTAGAAAGCTTTCCACAGTTGACAGCCACGGCTCCTCTTCACATAGTCTCCACCAAACTGACCTCTTCACCCTCAAATTTTATCACTTTACCAACATGAGCTCCATATCACATTTAGCCTCCTCGTCCACTAATTTAAAACTTAAACCGACCATACGTAGTCCAAGAACTAAAGTTACAAACGCCTCCCTCCCTCACTATGCAGATGGGATGTCTTGCCTATCTCTACACAAAGCTAACCTCCACAATCCACCAAACCCATCAATTACATTCTTAGTCGCCCAATAACTCCTCCTTACATTCCACCATATTCCTTGCAAGGCAGAATGTACACGAAATGAGCTCCTATACTTTCATGTTAGGATTTGTTTGGGGCAGCTTATAAGTGCGGCGGCATTTTCTTTTAGGATTCGTTTGGGGCAGCTTATAAGTGCGGCGGCATTTTTGAAAGTTTTATCTGCTTATAGGAAAACAACATTTTTTATTTCCATGAAACGCGATCGCGGGTATAACCCCGCGATCCTTTTTACCCGTTTTATCTGCTTATAGGAAAACAACGTTTTTTATTTCCATGAAATGCGATCGCGGGTATAACCCCGCGATCCTTTTTACCCGCCTGTTCCTCCGCCGCCGAAGGAAGCTGCTCTTACCTCCGCACTCCCCATTCGGCCGAGAGCCTGCTTACCCTTGGTAAAAAATCCCTCTCCTCCCTCCGCTCATTCATCTCTTCTTCCCTCTTTATTCTTTTTTGAGGTTCTTTTGTTGTTCCAAATCCCTAATCATTCTTTGATGTATTTATGCTTTTACCCATCAATTCTCCTCCCCCGAGTTTTGAGATGATGCTATGAGATCTTCTTTGATGTATCAAGTGCTCTACTTGTTGAATACAATAGCTTTTAGGTCTGCATTATCTATTTGCTTCTGTTGAAGATTACCCTGGATATTTAAAATCTGCACATTTTGTACATGTAATTTTTGTTTTTTAATTTTTACAATGTCATATTTTTGGAACTATTATTACCATTTCATTTCCGTTGTCGTATCTAAAAGAGTATGATCATGTGTTCTCTGATGAATGAATTCAAAGACCACAAAGCTTAGCAATGTGTGATCGAGAAGTTCATGATTAATTTCACAGTGGCTAGTTAATAACTGGTGTGTCTTAAAAAAGAACCTCTTTTGAGTAAAATTTATTATATGCTAATTCAAAATTATCAAGTTCTGTCCGAACATTCATTCAAAAAAAGAAAAAACATAGTTTATGTTTTTATTTTTTTTGTTCCATACCAACATGCAGATACCACCGTTTTTTTATTTTCCAAAAATTTTAACTTGTATTCATTTAATAAGAATTTTTTGCTAAGATATCACTATAGTGATGTGCTTTCATGGCCCTTGACCACTTGGCTCATTGTGTTTTCTTTTTCTGTTATAGACCTGAAATTCTTTCACTTCAATGGTTTTTTCTGTTATAGACCTGAAATTATAGACCTGAAATTTTCTTTTTATTTTTCATCTTGATCGAATTGCTTTTGAACGCGTTCGCATCCTTTTTTTATGATGCACGAATGTTCACATTTCTATTAAATTAGTTCTCTCGTTCTATTTCCATATGCATATTTATGTATGTATAAGAAAATTATTTCTATGAGCAAAAAGTCCCCCGCCTTTCTTGACCGTACACTTCGTATGTAGATTTTTTGTATACTTGAAGTTTTATTTCAATTCAGGACTTCTTGTATACCACCTTTCTTGACCGCACAAATTGAATCTCAAACCTTGACATGAATACATTTGTTGACACAATTTTCAAAGGTTATTATGGCTTGTCATTGTTGAATGAGCTCTTGCATTTGAGCATCTAATAACTTTTCCGTTAGACACATTTTTAACTTTAAATTTTTCAGCAATCATGTTTTAGTATCAGTTGCGTGGTATGCATGTAAAGTTTTGGGATTTGCTATCAGAAGTTCAATGTGAAATAGTTCATATCACAATTTTTTTCCCAAATGCGATTCTAATATTAATGTCTTCCTCAAGGTTCAAAGCTAGGAAATATTGCAACATTATTAAATTTTTGATGCTCATGTTATTGAATGCATTATTTTCTTATTTCACCCTTTACTAGTAAGTAGTGCAATGAATAAGAGCAAAGAGGTTGCATCATCGGCTATGTGGGACAAGGATGCAACAAATATTTTCTGTGATCTTTGTCTTAGGGAGGTCGAGCTGGGAAATAGGCCGAAGACATATTTTAACAAAGAAGGTTGGCAAAATGTTATGATCAAATTTAAGGAATTGACAGGAAGGGACTATGACAGAATGAAATTTAAGAACAAGTGGGATCAATTAAAAAAAGACTGGAAAATATGGAAAAAACTAAAGATGGGAACTACAAGTTTGGGATGGAATCCAGTGAAGCGAACAATAGATGCTCATGAAGATTGGTGGACTGAAAAACTAGAGGTAATGTCATATCTTTCACTATTTTCTT